ACCGCATCTGCACGGGGCGCCTGGAGTCTTCACAGCTGTGCCACAGGACGCTCCTCCCGCCGCCCCGAGGCGTGTAGGGCTGGGGGTAGGTGTGTGATGGGGGGTGGGGGGAGGGAACAGTCCCTGGCGGGGCGGGGGGAGGGAACAGTCCCTGGCTTCCTTAGTTTGGCTGCAGGTTGGGGTCGATCTGGGCAACGTGGCCAGGAAAGTGGCACGAAGCCAGTGCAGACCTGTAGCCGTGCACGCACCCACGGTGTGCAAGGCCTCAGCCCCCTGCCCACACAACAGGGCCTCGGTGTGTTTGTTGAAGCCAGGCCGCCATCCAGGACTCGCGATGCCTGGGAAAGGCGTCCGCCCTCCCTCTCAGGGGCGTGGCCTCAGCCACCGCTCCCCCCCCCCACCTCCACTTCGAAGCGGCTTCCCCGGCCGAGGTGGGCGTGGCTCGCGAGGGCGTGGGCGTGGCTAACGAGGGTGTGGGCGGGGACTGCGCTGCGGCAGTCTGCCCGCGCGGGAAGCGCAGCAGAGGGGAAAACAGATCGGGGTGATCGTGATCTCCTTCCCCCCCAATCCCACACCCCGTCCCCCCTACTGTCTCCGGGTCCGGGGCGCCCCGCGCCCATCCGGTCGCGGCAGCTCGACTTGGCGTCGGAGTTGTCCGGCCTGGATGCTCCAGCCTCGGGGCATTGAGTTCGTATCCACTCTCAGGGGCGCGCTGCCCGCCTTGCAGCGCCCCCCCCGCGTTATTAACAGCGGGGGACCCCGGCCCCGCAATTGGATCTGTGTCCGGCCTCGAGCACTTCCCTCCGGGATGTTAGGATCAGCGAGGATGGGGGGCACGAGAGAGAGTTCTGGGGGGGGGAACCTCGTGGCTTGTCTGCGAGGCGGTGCACCCGGAGTGGGGAGCACACGGCCGGGCATGGGGGGCGGGGGCTTCCTGATCCCTTCAGGGTCGCACACATTACCCACGATGATTCCTTGCAGCCTTTTGTGCTCAAGAGAAAGGTTGGAAATGCATCTGCCAGCCAGCACTCGTCATTTTATGGAAGAGACAACGCCCTTGCCTCCCCCAAACCAGGCGGGGGGGGGCTCGGCCCACGCCCGGCAGACTTGGGGTCCACACTTGGGGGTGAGCAGTTGCTTTTCCAGTCCCTTCGAAAGCACGATTGCCTCCTTCCCCCCCCCCCAAAAATAATGGTGTTTTGGAATCCAGGCTACGTCTGAAAATCTACACTGGACACGGAGCTTGCTTCCTTCCAGGCGTTGAGCCCCTGCTGGGCTCAAGAAAGTTCTAGAGTTTGAAGGAAGGAGCGGCACCCGCAGGCCACTCCGGACCCAGACGGCCTCTGCTGCGGGAATATGGTGTCTGCGTCCACGTGGGCCTGTCTCCTCTTCTAAAATGATGGGGGGCAGGGAGGAGGGGACCGTCTAGCACCTTCCTTCTAAAGCAGCGGTGTGATCCCCTCAGGCCCGGCTCCTCGAGGGTTTGTTCAGGCTGCAGGGCCTCTTAGGACGGTGCGCACGAGCCTCTCCTGGAAGCCAAGCCGGAGGAGGACCAGGACAGTTGCCACACGGAGAAATCGAGGGCAGGGCCGCCCCGCTGCCTGGCCTTGGATCTGCGGCGGGGTCAAAGGGCCATGCCAAGGAGCAGTGTTTGGGCAGAGCTGACGTTGCTGCTTAGGTTGGATTCCTGGTGGATTCGGGGCAGACGGGGCGGGGGGGGGGGAGACAATTTACTGGGATTTTTAAACACAGAACAGAACTGGGGGGTTCGCAAGCCCGGCCCCCAGCATCTGCCCACACCCACGTCACCGTGGCCGCACCCCGCCCCCTCCCCAGGAGAATCCAGCAAAGCAGAATCTTTCTTGATGTGTCATGCAAGCCAGCACATAAAACTGTCCTTTTGATAGAGTGTGGCCGGAGGTGGCGGGTGGCAGGTAGCTTACCAAGACCTGCGGAGTTGAATCCAGGGCACCCGCACCCCAAGCTTCAGATGGATACACGCGCGCCTCACCAGCGTGCCTGCAAGGGGCGGGGGTTGGGCAGGCACACAGTACTTTTTCACGTGTGAACACTGCCACCGTACAGCGTTACTTGTGGTTTACCAAACACACACCCCACCCAGAGATGAGCACCAGTGGTCTGGTGAGGTTACATTTATTGGTAATCCTCTCCCGGCCTTTGATGATTCTCCCCCCCCCAACCCCATAAGTGTGTAAGCAGCGGGGACTTAGCAGAAGCAGGCCGCGCCTCCTAAATGTGATTCGGACCATATGCGTTCTGCATTCATTCCTGGCTCGGCTTTTCTTCTGCACACTAACTGCTAACACGTTATAGTCACCTTGAAATTTCCTCTGCTATTTTCCAATTAAAAGCTTAATAGCCCTGGAAACGGAGTTCATGTGGTGAAGTTTACCATAGTCCCTTGTTCTGAAAGGCTTTCTGCTGGGATCCCATTATGTGCTTGAATAAACCCTTTCTGCAAACAGAAATGGGACTCGGGGTTGTCAGGTGTTGGGTTACAATAGACTTTGAGGCAGGGGACATTTTACCAACATAAATACGAACCTGTCCCTATAGGGAGATGTTGTCAAATACTGGGATATGGAAAACATTCCCATCAAATATGAGAAAAGGATTACTGCGCTATATCAAATGAGTATTTAGA